AGGTTTCACCTCAATGCTGACATGTGTGTATGAACTCAGTTTCCACAAGTCTAGGCTCTCCCAAGTTTGATTATGCAGCAAGAAAAGCAAGTTCTATTACTCATTCAAATAGTATGTCACCAAATGCTCCAGTAACAACAGCGTCATAGTGTATCAGTCCTGATTTCAGGACTTCAGTTTTAGTACCAGGTACATCTTACAGTAAATTATCATCCTTGAACTAATTCCAGAGTAGAATTCTAACATGCCTTTCTAATTGTTAGTTAAGAAGCCGTGGAGTGGGTACAGGACAAATAACTATACATTACTACAACTGTTGGAACAGCACTGTAAAGGAAAAAAGTGTTGTTGACAAAAGTACAATTTAAGACAGTCCATTTTGGTGCTGACTATACAAAGAGCTAACTCCTATGTCACATTATCATCTGAGTACCAAGAATAGAATGTCTAAAAGACTCTTAGAAAGTTGCAAATCGGACATTAGTTTTGCCTAGCTTGCATAGTCTTAAATTTGAGTTCCTTTTGGATTGAAGAGATGTGGTCGATGAGATGTATTCTTTAGTGGATAAGTTCAAACATGTTTTCCATCTTTGATTGCCTGCGACCGGATTCCTCAGGACATGGCTCTTCTATTGGAACTGCAGTGGAGTAAGCTTTGAAACCAACAGGTTATGATCATTGCTAATAGAAACAGGAGAGTAGTGTGAAAACTGCTGAGAAAGAGAACATAGTTGGGGCACGCTAGGCTATGTCACTAAAACTGCCTAAATATATCAATAGCAACCGCAGGTTTCAAGTTTTCAAGTGGATTGTGGACTCACTCAAATACTTTCAAATGGAGTACTGATGTTAAAGTAAAACAACCCTAGGTGGGGTAAATAAAAGGTGATTTGGAAAGAGATGCTACTATTTAAGTCCAACCGATTATGGCTGTATTACTGCCATACTGTCCAGCTTTTTAAATGAAGCCAGAAATTTAATTTGTATATGTAATTTAATTTTTAAATACCACAGACTAATTCAATTTTTTTTCCCTTGCAGGCCAAGTATAGTATCTGTCTTGTCAGTTTACAACCTCTTCTTGCTTCTTCCTTACCAGCATAGTCAGCCACCTGAAGAAGCCCCTCCCATCTGAAATTTTCCTATAGTAGTGTATTAGCTATCATGGCCTCAGGTCACAAATCTCTGATTCTTTCCAATGGACACTATACTCACTAAAGAGATATTGGTGACTGTGACTCTCTCAGAATAAGCACACTAAGACTAAATAGAACTAGCCATTTTTCCGTTTATTGCATATTTTTATATTAACTGGAAATGTTTTTAAGTTAAATTAAGCATACAGGCTAAAGCTACTCCAACTTTACATGAGATGTATCTTACTATCTACAGCTTCAAACAAATCAAGAAGAGTGCTTCCAGTCTGACTATTAACCGAAAAACCTTTCTAATGCAAATATTTTTTTTTAAGAAAATTGAAAGAGAGTTGGAATATTGTTCACTGGTGACATAGTTCCCTAGCATCATGAAGGCCTGGGTTCAAGCCTTAGCAACAATAAAAATACAAGATTACAGGAGAAAATTAGAAGTGAACAGAACAGAGGGGAAAGAAATAAATGCCAGACTGCTTTTAGTAAAATAGTGACTTTGCTTTAGGACTCTTATACAATAATACATAAAAATAAAGACATTCTTTGGCTCAGAATTCCATCAAGAATAATAAACTTAATGTTAGGAGTTTAATATTTTTAAACTATTCTTTATATTAGCTTCTGAAAAACTTACTATTCTCCGAGTTTAGAAAGGCCATGGATATATGTGTGTGTGTGTGTGTGTGTGTGTGTGTGTGTGTGTGTGTGTGTTTACAAGTACATTACTACTGTCTATGTGTAACTGGAGGAATTAATGCTTCCTCTTCAAGACCTACCATTCAAAGTAGAGTTCTTGTTTCAGAATTAAAAAACCTGCACATTTTTGAGGATTCAATGAGAGGCTCTTGCCTTGGAAAAATATACATTCCATCCAGAAAAATAATAAAGGAATATAAAACAAAGCTGGAAGATAACTTAAGACAACACAGGTACTGACAGCACATGAAAGCCTTCAGGATGAACGTGGGGTCTTTTTTGTCAAACCCTAACTAGTAGTAGTTAAGTAAAACTGAGAAACCATGAAAGTATTGCATCTATATATTCCTGCTAACAGAACCACTCACAGAAGACTAGACTATCAGAACTACTTCATGAAAACAAACAAAAGTAAATAAAAATTTCTGTAAGAATATCTGCACAACCATTGTCTATTAACCCCATACACAGGCCACTCTTCGTATTGATGTCTTCCAAACTCATGTTTCAAAATGTCATATTTAACCACTTTACCTTTAAAACCTTCCCCTCAACTTGAAATAGTCTATAACTGACCACAATGTGCATTTTTTTGTTGCAATACTACATTACCTATGTAAAGAGTATTTAGGGACTATTTCTTTTCACTTTAACACTTGTAGAACCTGAAACAAGGCCTCTTCAAAGACAACTGGCAACTTCTAGAGTATGATACAGTTCCAACATTCAGTTTTCTGTACCCTCCATTTCCCTGGCTCAACTCATTTTTGCCTCCTTTCAAGTCAAGTCTGAATTTTTTGATAGACTTCCTGTTGACCTGGTGATCTGGCATGGGTAATGGTGCCTCTAAAGGAAACCTTGAGTCCAGAATCTATCTCCATGTTCTGAGTATTAAGATTTACATGAAATATTTTCTAATAGAAATTTACAAGTGATTTTAATTCTCAAGTGGCATTTTTTGAACTTTTCCTACTTTAGACTCCATTTATTGGTGACTCTCATTGTAAAGACAATATTTTCTCCAGTTTACTCTTCCACAAGAGCCAGATGTTTAAAATATTTGTCTTACAGACCTGGCATAACTTGATTCTTTATTCTTGAGTCTTCTTCCTGTATGTGAATAGTAACATAAAACTAATCACCTCACCTGCCTTACTATTTTGAAATAATGCATGCCCTTGCTCAGACAGATTTTTAGTATTCTATCTACTTGCATACTCTGCGGTGTGTACTTCTCTAGTGTCGATATAAAAGGACCTTTATATTAGGTTGACATCCAGGTTTCAAATTCTATTTCCACAAAGAATTTCTTTTCTTTACCTTTTGGTAACTGGCCTAGAAAACAAAGATTTTTGTTTTGTCTATACTTTTGTGTTTGATAGGAGTGAACCTGCCACTTCCGGATCACATGGCTAGTACCGTCTAGCTTGGGTGGAGGTCAGATAACAACTTTGGAGAGTTGGTACTCTCCTTCTACTGTAACATGGCTTCTGGGTACCAAACTCAAGGCAGAAGGTTGGCATTAAAGTTTTGCATCTGTCTTTATCTGCTGAGTCATCTCAGCCACCATGGACATTTAGTTTTAAAGAAAACTGTTATATATGCTATTAGACTGTGACTGTTCCTTATTTTCAATTTTAAAGTATTTATCTATAGATTATATCTTAAGTCCTTCATAATTACTACAATCTTTCTCCCACATAATTTGTATTTCCTAAATCTTTGTGAGTTGAAGCTGAATAATGTAATATATACACCACCAGAACTCACTTAAGAGTTCTGTGAGATCAGAGTTTGGACTTTTAACCACCAGAACTGACACAAATACTTGCTTATAAGCTTCCTGGTGTATGGCAATTTGTAATAGGAGCCTCAGCATAGACAGCCACTATGCAATGTATGCAAATTAAAACTGCATAATTCTGTCAGAAAAATTACAATAACAAAAAACTGCTTACTAGAATGTGAATAAAATTATTTTCATACATTGCTGGTAAAAATGTAGTACAATCACTTTACCATAGTTTAGTTATTTTTGTTTGTCTTGTTTTTTTAAAACTTAAACATATACTTGCCATTTGACCCATCAATCAAACTTCTAGGCATTTTTCCTAGAAAAAAATGAAAACTTATACACATTTTAAAAAATGCTTATAATCATTCATAGAAATTTTATTTATAGTAATCCCCAAATTAGACAAAGCAAAATGTTCTTCAATAAGCAAACAGCTATATAAAATATGGTGCATCCACACCACTCAGAAGTGAACACACGCAATGACTAGAACAGAACTCAAGGGTATTACACTGAGTGAAAAACATCGCCAATGCTTATTTCCTGCATGCTTCCATTCTCAAAGCTATAGAGCTGGAGAAGAGTTGGCTAGGGTGGTACTCTGGTAGAGGATATGGTAGCTGGAAGAGTATAAACCAACAAGACCTCTGTGGTACTAAGCTAGTAATATATATTGGTCATATATAATCACATGAATCTGCACACATGATACAATAGCACGAAGCTACATATATGCTGTTTGAATTACCAAGTTCTTGCTTTTGATATATTACACTATATGTTTTATATGACCACTGAGGAAAATGGGTGTTTAGTGTAGAATGTATGTTTATATTAACTTTGCAACTTCATACACTATTTCAATTATCTCAGAACGAAAATTTAAAAGTGAAAATTGGGTGATATGCAATAAGCTTCCAAAATATTGCCATGAGAAAAAGCCTTATCTACTAAACCCTGTGACTGAAGAAAGCACGCCAGTTTGACTCACATCTTCTTGTTTGTGGTGTCTAGATGGAAACAAGTTTGTAACAACCTTAGCTGATGCTTACAATCTTCTAGTTGAGAAATTTTACTATTGCTACTAGTGTAACACAAAACTCATGCTTTGTAAATGCATCCAAAATTAACATATTTAAAATGTACCCAGACTTTACTGAATGTTGCTTCCTCAGAAATTAAATTCACTGCATAATTATGGCTAAATTCAAAGACATAAACTTCAATCAAAGGAGTACACATCTCTTCAAGCTATTCAATACAGCATGATTTCATTTTTGATTCACTAAGCAACAATACAGCAACACAAAAGAAACTCAGAAGCCATTAAAGAATAAAGCATAACTCCTTAAAAGAAATAAAATGCATATACAATGTTTTAATAATCCATAATATAAACTGATATATACAAAGTGTTTTTATGATCTGTTATGACTTAAGTTAACACATCATATAATTCTCAAGCACATGCTGACACCTAGCCTTTGCTCTTCTTCAGAATTACCTGTAAGGGAAGAAATAAAGATACATATTATAGCTATGGAAAACAAGTCAGAATCACTGATCTGCAAGGTTCTACATTTCTCTAACACAGTCTACCTCTCTCAACAAATGGGAAACATTTTTAGATTACCCAATCTGGTTTTAGAGTCACTTTCACTCACAAACCTTGCCAATTCTAACCAGAAGTATCAAAACATTTGACTTCAAAACAAGTTTTGGCTATCATGTCGTGTGTTATCCCTGCCAACAAATTAATGATCTAGAGTATTAAAAAAAAAAAATGTTCTCAAACTCAAAACAAGTATAAAGTAGTATCAGGCAGTATAAATCAATCTCAATGTAAAACATCACAAGCTGGAATTTTAACAGCTGGTACTTCACATATAATTTTCAAGACATTAAATGTTGCAGAAATAAGACAAAGGGAAATATTTGATTGTAAAAATCCTGAAAGAATGAGGCCCTAAGTTAGCTTCAAAACTATACAAATAAAAATAAAAATGTAAAAGAATCGGGCTACTACAATTTAAAAAGAAAACCAGACCTCAGGTCCCATGGGCTGTCTCAGCAGGTAGAGACAGTAATGTCTCAGACAGTAAGTCTGATGACCTGTGTTTGATCCCATATCATAGAGAGGACCAACTGCCAAAAGTTGCCCTGACCTACAGGTATGCCATGACAAGTGACAGGTACACACATGTGCCTGTGTACACATACACAAACACACGCACACGTGTATGTAGGTACACAATAAAGGCAATAAAAATTTTAGAAAATTTTAGAAAATGCTAAGTATGTTATATACTTAGAAAAAACAACCATCTAAATTGAAAACCCTTACATATATTCTTCATACTCTTAATCATTGCATTGCTTTCAGCAAAGTCCTTATTTGGGTTTTAATAGTTGTAGTGTTTCCCACTGAAGAGTATTTAGAAGCCTCATAAAAATTGCCAGGGCATGCCTGATGCCTGGCTTCCAAAAGTCTGTAACCCAGGTCAGCAAAGAGATATTAGTATGGGAACTATCAAAGAAAGTACCATGTGCTTAAACAGTTTACAAAGGTCTAAGAATGCTGTGCATTTTCCCAAAGCTCACCAAGCTTCCTTGCCGGTGCACCTCACACTCCTTCCTAACTTAGCAATATACTAGCCTACAGGGATTTTGAAATAAAAAGTATTTGAATCAGACAAAAATGATGGCCATAGCAATATTTTTAAGTTAACTCTTGCTTACTAAGAAAATTTATATTTTACCTTTGCTGCAGCCAGTACATGATCCTTTTTAATAACTCCAGATTTACTTTCACAGGCATTTGTCCTGGCCTCTTCTGCCAATCGCTGAACAAAGAGTAGGCAATTCAAATGGATCTTTAAAAGCAAAGCACGTGTAGTGTTAGATAATATATAAACTTTTTTAACACAAATTTATTACTCACAACTTTCTAGTCCACGGCTTTTTCCAGGTTTGTGAGGGCACTATTCACAACCTGTTAAAAGGTATTTTTCACAATTTTCTTTCTGTCATTATTTATATCAGTTACCAAGTATTTCAAACAATAATGACTCAGAAGCTTCAGAGTATTGTGCTGAACAAAGAAGACAAAGGCTCCTGATTCTAGTTCCTAGATTAATGGAACAATCATTCCATAAGGCTGCATACTGCCCTGGGAGACAACATCAGAATTTGAAACTCTGAGAATAATATCAACATCTCAACAACTAACTCGTATGGTAGTCATAAAAAAAAAAACAAAATGTGCTGCTTTAAATGGCGCAAACTTTATGAATAGCACAGAATGCTTTATTGGGTAAAATTATGAAGTTAATGGAGAGCAGAAAGCTGTAAGGAAAGACATGTCAGTGAACAAAAGCCGAAACAAGAACTGTTTAACAAAAGTGATAGAACTTGAAAACAGCACCGGGGAACAACTGCCCGAAGGAGCTCTGGCCTCTATTACTATGAAGTGTGCTTCAACTTGGCTTCTTTCCCTGACACCTAGAGCACTCCTCCAGAGTCCATACAGCTGCAGGTCACTCCAGGACAGAAAATAGAAACTAGCTACTCGAGAAAGACCTGACAACCCCTTGAATCAGCTAGTAGTCTCCTGGCTATTCCTCATCAGGTGGGGTTCGCTCTCTATTAGGCTCCAGGGAAAACAGAATTAAACTATCAAAAGTGTACTTCCAGGGAATCCCAGCTCACTTACACTATCTCAGCCACCACCAAGGAGTCGGCAGGGGAGGGCAACAATGGTACATAATTTTCTCCTAGAGTATGAGAAAAAAAAAAAAAAAAGAACAAGTGACAGAAGAGGTATTCCAACCCCTGCCCGGGGTGAGAGGAGCTACATTTTGACTCTAGAAATTAAAGAGAGAGAGAGAGAATAGAAGATAATTCTATAATAGTCAAGAAAACCAGTATCGCCTGAAGACACCATATCCTGACCCATCCTAGAGGAACCACTGTACTCAGAGCAGCAGGTAAGAACCCTCCTCCACAACCCTATGCCCCAGAGCTGCACCTAGGAGCCTGGGGCACTCAGAACCTATCACCCATCCAAACACTATCCTCTGGAATACCACTCCTCTTCCACCCTTTGCTTGGTCTTTGTTGCTGGGGCAGACACCTAGCTGGTCTGTTCCCATGAAGACTCCACATCCTGACCCTTCCTAGAGGAACCATTGCATTCAGAGCAGCAGAAGAACCACTGCACTCAGGGAAGTGAATGAGTGAAGGTAGCACTAGAGATAACCAGATGGTGAAAGGCAAGCACAAGAAATAAGCAACAGAAACCAAGATTACCTGGCATCATCAGAGCATAGTTCTCCCACCATAGCAAGTCCTGGATACCCTAAAACCCCAGAAAAGCAGGATTCGGATGTAAAATCAGTTCTTATGATGATGATAGAGGACTTTAAGAAGGTCATAAATAACTCCCTTACAGAAATACAGGAGAACACAGGTAAACAGGGAGAAGCCCTCAAAGAGGAAACACAAAAAGTCCCTTAAAGAATTGCAGGAAAGAACAACCAAACAGTTGAAGGAATTGAATAAAACCATCCAGGATCTAAAAATGGAAGTAGAAACAATAAAGAAATCCCAAAGGGAGACTACCTTGTAGATAGAAAACCTAGAGAAGAGATCAGAAGTCTTAGATGCAAGCATCACCAACCAAATACAAAAGATAGAAGAGAGAATCTCATGTGCAGAAGGTACCATGGAAAACATTGACACAACTGTCAGAGAAAATGAAAAACACAAAAAGATCCTAACCCAAAACATTCAGGAAACCCAGAACACAATGAGAAGACCAAACCTAAGGATAATAGGTATAGATGAGAGTGAAGATTCCCAACTTAAAGGGCCAGTTAATATCTTCAACAAAACTATAGAAGAAAATTTCCCTAACCTAAAGAAAGAGATGCCCATAAACATACAAGAAGCCTATAGAACTCCAAATAGACTAGACCAGAACAGAAATTTCTCCTGTCATATAGTAATCAAAACATCACATGCACAAAACAAAGAAAAAATATTAAAAACAGTAAAGGAAAAAGGTCAAGTAACATATAAAGGCAGACCTACAAGAATTACACCAGACTTCACACCAGAGACTATAAAAGCCAGAAGATCCTGAACTGACATCATACAGACCCTAAGTGAACACAAATGTCAGCCCAGACTACTATTCCCTGCAAAACTCTTAATCACTATAGATGGAGAAACCAAGATATTCCATGACAAAATCAAGTTTACACAGTATCTTTCCACAAATCCTATTATCCTACAAAGGATAATAGATGGAAAACTCCAACACAAAGAGGGAAACTACAACCTAGAAAAAGAAAGTAATATTCTTTCAACGAACCCAAAAGAAGATAACTACACAAACATAATTTCACCTATATTAACAAAAATAATAAGAAGCAACAATCATTTTTCCTTAATATCTCTGAACATCAACAGACTGAATTCCCCAATAAAAAGAAATAGACTAACAGACTGGATACATAAACAGGACCCATCATTTTGCTGCATACAAGAAATGGAACTCAGTGTCAAAGACAGACACTACCTCAGAGTAAAGGTCTGGAAAACAATTTTCCAACCAAATGGTCTCAAGAAACAAGCTGGAGTAGCCATTCTAATATCAAATAAAATCAACTTTCAGCCAAAAGTTATCAAAAAAAAAAGGAAGGACACTTCATACACATCAAAGGAAAAAATCTACCAAGATGAACTCTCAATTCTGAACATCTATGCTCCAAATGAAAGGGCGCCCACATTCGTAAAAGAGACTTTACTAAAGCTCAAAGCACACATTGCACCTCACACAATAATAGTGGGGGACTTCTACACCCCACTCTCAGCAATGGATAGATCATGGAAACAGAAATTAAATAGAGATACAGTGAAACTAGCGGAAGTTAGGAGCCAAATGGATTTAACTGATATATATATCTATAGAACATTTCATCCTAAAGCAAAAGAATATACCTTCTTCTTAGCACCTCATGGTACCTTCTGCAAAAAAGACCATATAATTGGTCACAAAACAGGCCTCAACAGATATAAAAAGATTGAAATAGTCCCTTGCATCCTATCAGATCACCATGGACTAAAGCTGCTCTTCAATAATGACAAAAACAATGGAAAGCCCACATGCATGTGGAAACTTAATAATGTTCTACTCAATGGTGACTTGGTCAAGGAAGAAATAAAGAAAGAAATTAAAAGACTTTTCAGAATTTAATGAAAATGAAGGTTCCTCATACCAAAACTTATGGGACACAATGAAAGCAGTGCTAAGAGGAAAACTCATAGCTCTAAGTGCCTACAAAAAGAAACTGGAGAGAGCATACACTAGCAGCTTGACAACACACCTGAAAGATCTAGAACAAAAAGAAGAAAACACACCCAAGAGAAGAGGAAGGCAGGAAATAATCAAACTCAGGGCTAAAATTAACCAAGTAGAAACAAAAAGAACTATACAAAGAATCAACAAAACCAGGAGTGGTTCTTTGAGAAAATCAACAAGATAGATAAACCCTCAGCCAGACTAACCAGAGGGCACAGAGACAGTATTCAAATCAGAACTGAAAAGGGAGAGATAACAACAGAAACTGACAAAATTCAAAAAATCATCAGATCCTACTACAAAAGCCTATACTCAACAAAACTGGAAAATCTGGATGAAATGGACAATTTTCTAGACAGATACCAGCTACCAAAGTTAAATCAGGAAAAGATAAACCATCTCATCGGTCCCATAACCCCTGAAGAAATAGCAGCAGTCATTAAAAGGCTCCCCACCAAAAAAAAGTCCAGGACCAGATAATTTTAGTACAGAATTCTATCAGACCTTCCAAGAAGACCTAATACCAATTCTCTTCAAACTATTCCACAAAACAGAAACAGAAGGAACACTACCCAATTCGTTCTATGAAGCCACAATTATACTCATACCTAAACCACACAAAGACGTAACAAAGAAAGAGTACTTCAGACCAATCTCCTTTATGAGTATCAATGCAAAAATACTCAATAAAATTCCCACAAAACTGAATCCAAGAACATATCAAAATGATCATTCACCATAATCAAGTAGGCTTCATCGCAGGGATGCAGGGATGGTTCAATATACGGAAATCCATCAAAATAATCCACTATATACACAAACTAAAAGAAAAAAACCACATGATCATCTCACTAGATGCTGAGAAAGCATTTGACAACATTCAACATCCCTTCATAGTAAAAGTCCTGGAAAGATCAGGAATTTAAGGCCCATACCTAAACACAGTAAAAGCAATATACAGCAAACCAGTAGCCAACATCAAACTAAATGGAAAGAAACTTGAAGCAATCCCACTCTCTCCCTACCTATTCAATATAGTACTGGAAGTCCTAGTTAGAGCAATTAGACAGCAAAAGGAAGTCAAAGGGATACAAATAGGAAAGGAAGAAGTCAAAATACCACTATTTGCAGATGATGTGAGAGTATACTTAAGTGACCCCAAAACATCCACCAGAGAACTCCTAAACCTGATAAACAACTTCACCAAAGTGCCTGGATATAAAATTAACTCAAACAAATCAGTTGCCTTCCTCTACTCAAAGGATAAACAGGCTGAGAAAGAAATTAGGGAAATGACACCCTTCACAGTAGTCACAAATAATATAAAATACCTTGGTGTGACTCTAACCAAACAAGTGAAAGATCTGTATGACAAGAACTTCAAGTTTCTGAATAAAGAAATCGAAGAAGATCTCAGAAATACCTTCCATGCTCATAGATTGGCAGGATTGAGGCAGTAAAAATGACTATCTTGTCAAAAGCAATCTACAGATTCAATGCGATCCCCATCAAAATTCCAACTCAATTCTTCATAGAGATAGAAAGAGCAATTCTCAAGTTCATTTGGAATAACAAAAAACCCAAGATTCTGAAAACTATTCCCAACAACAAATGAACTTCTGGAGGAATCACCATACCTGACTTAGAGCTGTACTACAGAGCTATAGTGATTAAAAAAAAAAAACAAAAAACAAAACAAAAAAACAAACAAACAAACAAACAAGAAACCCTGCATGGTATCAGTACAGAGACAGGCAGAAAGCTCAACAGAATAGAATTGAAGATCCAGAAATGAACCCACACTTGATCTTTGACAAAGGAGATAAAACCGTCCAGTGGAAAAAGGACAGCATTTTCAACCAATGGTGCTGGTTCAACTGGAGGTCAGCATGTAGAAGAATGCAAATCCATCCATTCTTATCCCCTTGTACAAAGCTCAAGTCCAAGTGGATAAAGGACCTCCACATAAAACCAGAGACACTGAAACTAATAGAAAAGAAGGTGGGGAAGAACCCTGAATACCTGGGCACAGAGGAAAACTTCCTGGACAGAACACCAATGGCTTATGCTTTAAGGTTAACAATTGACAAATGAAACCTCATAAAATTGCAAAGCTTCTGCAAAGCAAAAGACACTGTCAATAGGACAAAACGGCAACCAACAGATTGGGAAAAGATCTTTACCAATCCTACATCTGATAGAGGGCTCATATCCAATACATACAAAGAACTCAAGAAATTAGATTCCAGACAACCAAATAACCCTATTAAAAAAATGGAGTACAGAGCTAAACAAAATTCTCAACTGTGGAAATTCAAATGGCTGAGAAGTACCTAAAGAAATGTTCAACATCCTTAGTCAGCAGGGAAATGCAAATCAAAACAACCCTGAGATTCCACCTTACACCAGTCAGAATGGTTAAGATCAAAAACTCAGGGGATAGCATATGCTTGCTGTCCAGGATGTCCAGGATGTGGAGATAGGAGACAGAGGAACATTCTTCCATTGTTGGTGGAATTACAAGCTGATACAATCACTATGGAAATCAGTCTGGCGATTCCTCAGAAAACTTGACACAGCATTACCTGAGGACCCAGCTATATCACTCCTGGGCATGTACCCAGAAGATGCTCCAACATATAACAAGGACACATGCTCCACTATGTTCCTAGCAGCCTTATTTATAATAGACAGAAGCTGGAAAGAATCCAGATGGAATGGATACTGAAAATGTGGTACATTTACACAATGGAGTATTACTCAGCTATTAAAATCAATGAATTCATGAAATTCTTATCCTGAGTGAGGTAACCCAATCACAAAAGAACACACATGGTACGTACTCACTGATAAGTAGATATTAGCCCAAAAGCTTGCAATATCAAAGATACAACTCACAGACCACATGAAGCTCATGAAGAAGGAAAACTAAAATGTGGGTGTTTCTGTCCTTCATAGAAGGAGTAACAAAATACTCATGGAGCAAATATGGAGACAAAGTGTGGGACAGAAACTGAAGGAGGGGCCATCTGCAGACTGTTCAACCTGGATATCCATCCCATGTGCAGTCACCAAAGGTAGACGCTGATGTGGATACCAGGAAGCGCATGCTGACAGGAGCCTGATATAGCTGTCTCCTTAGAGGTCTGCCAGAGCCTGACATATACAGAGGCGGATGCTCACAGCTAACCATTGAACTGATCATGTGTTCCCAATGGAGGAGTTGGAGAGAAGACTGAGGAGCTGAAGGTGTTTGAGGCCCCATGGGGAGAGCAACAATACCAACCAACCAGAGCTCCCAGAGTCTAAACCACCAGCCTGGGAGCACTTAGGGAGGGATCCATGGCTCCAGCTGTATATGTAGGGGAGGATGGCCTTGTCAGGCATAGGTGGGAGAAAAAGTCCTTGGTCCCATGAAGGCCAGATGCCCCAGTGTGAGGGAATTTGAGGGCGAGGGCGGGAGGTGGGAAAGGGTGGCTGGGTGAGGCACATTCTCAAAGAAGCAGGAGGAGGGGGGATGGGATGGGGGTTTCTGGGTGGGGGGGGAAATGGGGAAAGGGGATAACATCTGAAATATAAATAAAATATCCAATAAAAAATAATTTCAAAAAAAAAAAGAAAGAAAGAAAAGAAAACCAGTATCTGGAGATGGCTCAATGGTTAAAAGCATGTGCTGCTCTTTTGGAGGAGCCAGGTTGTCAGCATCCATTGTCAGGCACCTGACAACTGCCCTTAACTCAAGCTACAAGCACCCACACATGGCATTCACTCACAGACACACATAAGTAAGCTCAAGCTACAAGCACCCACACACGGCATTCACTCAGACACACATAAGTAAAAACAATTTTTAAATACATCTTAAAGGGAGGATGGGCAACAGCTTTAATACCAGCACTGACAGGCAAAGTCAGGATGATGTACCTGTGTGTTCAAGGCCAGCCTGGTCTACAAAATGAGTTCCAGGCCAGCCTGCCGATACATAGTGAAGCCCCCTCTCAAAGAAAAGAAAATAATAGAAACCCTGCAAGAATTCAGTAGATGGGAAGACAGAGAAAAAATAACTCCAGTTCTTCACCTTCATCTGGAAGAGACATGTGCTTTCAGAACAGACGAAAGGAAGTGTTCCTATGGCTCAATCTGGGGACGTAATATTCCTTTTGTAGATGAAATCCATTCCATTCAATCAAAACAAACTGTAGTGAGCAACACCTGCACTTGGGTGGTGGAGGCAGCGGTGGGGGTGGGGTAGGGTGTCTCTGTGAGGGCCAGCCTAATCTACAAACTGAATTCCAGAACTGCCAGGGCAGTTACAGAGAAGCCCTGTCTCAAAAACAAATAAAGGTCTTTAATATTGAGAGTGGTACTGGTGGTGCCAGAAGCAGACAGATCTTTGAGTTCGAAGCCAGCCTGGTCTACAGCGGGGGTTCCAGGGCAGCCAGGCTACACAGACAAACCCTGTCTTGAAAAACCAAAACCAAACAAAACAACAACACCCCCTCGCCCATCCCCCCCCCAAAAAAAAACAGAAGACATACTGAATTTACTTCCAGGTAGAAACAGAGTTGTAGGATTGGGGCCAATTAGTGGAAAACATTATATTTCGGGTAAACATGAGTCTGAAAAACGACAGTCTTGAAAGTTTTAAAAACCTGACGCCACGGCTACATGATCACTTTTGGACCACTGTCCTTTAGTAAGGGACCTAGTGCAGCCGCCATGGAGCAATGTGTTCGGTAACATCACACAGGAGCTAGGGGAGGCAGGAGCCCAAATCTGTTTGTGGCCGGTTTACCTTCCACACACAGCTCATTTAAACGATTCACAGAGCCAGTGTCCTTAATGGCTGCTCCAGGAAGCAATAAGGGGCGGGGCTTTAGTTGGAATCCTTATAGACCGTTCCCGGGGCAGGGGCGCTCGGTGCAGGGGCGCTCGGCATCCAGACGAGGTTGGGGTGCTGCCAGTCACGGCTACTGGGCCTGCGGGTGGAGAGGGCGGGACTTACCAGGAGGTCGCAGCAGGTCTCCAGACGGAGGCACGGCTTCTTCTGCTTGAAGGTGCGCTTGAGGAAGGCGCGGGGCGCCTTGCGCTTTATCCGCCTCGAGACTGTGGTGGAGAGCGCCATCTTCACGGCCGGCCTCACTGCCCTCTGCCCCGGCTTCCGCGATCGCAGGACCGCTCGCCTGAGAATGACGTGCCACTTGTGTCTCCACACCCCAGAGCGGTCGATTTGAATCTGCCGCCAGTTGGCGCACTGCAGTGACGTTACGCAAGCCACGCCCACCAGAGCCTGTTACGCCCAGGCTGGAGGACGGACTTCCCAGGAAAAGGTTATCCTCCGCGCGCACACTGCTGCGAAGGCTCAGGCTTGTTTGGTATAATTTGCAGTTTTCTATGGTTCTGTAGTTCGACTCTTGGTTTCATAGAAAGGATGAGAAATTGTGAAAATAATCAATAAGCCCAGTAAAATCATTCTGTGCTCACCAAGCTCTCCATATAGCAACTGGATTCCAATGGATTAGAAAGTAAATGAAAGAAGTTTGTGTTTTATTAGGATTCCTTAAGAACTTAGGCCCTGTTTTCTGATATTACCAGCAAACAACATACTCTTTTATATTATTGCATTTGGCTTTACATGAGTATTTTTTTCTTACATGAGATTTTCTTCACAAATGACCGCCCTTCAATGCCTTCGTTAACTTCCCTATAGCTTTCGAATATACTACTTTTCTTTTATTGAAAATAGGTTTTTCATAAGCTATATTCTGATTGCAATTCCCCCTCCCCTAACTGCTCCAAGAGCCTCCGAATCTCTGTGCCTATTCAAATCCACACCCTTTGAGTCTCTCTTCAGAAACCAAATCAGGATCTAACCAATAGTGATAAAATAAAACAAAAACAATCAGAAAAGGGGAAAGACAGACGAAAAAGAGCTAAGGAAAGAAACACACACTTGAGCCCACAGGAATTCAATAAAAAACGCAAAGCAGAAGCCATATTATGTATTCTAAGGACCAGTAAGGTTAAAATAAAATGTCCTGACAAACCATTATGAGAGAGAGAACCTTCAAAGATGCTAGTGAGTTCTAGCTGTGTTGGCAGCAACTGCTGGACCTGGGGCGTGCTCTTAAGAGTGGTTTGGATCCACAGTGAAACACTGTTAGAGAAAAGTAACTTTTCATTTGCAAGTTATCAAATGTAGATTATTGCCTGGTTAGGGATGGAGACTTGTGACTATTTCTCCTCTCAGCACAGGGAGCCCAATTGGCACAGACCCATGCTGGTCTTGTGCATTCTGCAACCGTCTGTTTCACACAGACCCCGCTGGCCAGCCCTGTGCATTCTACAAGTCTCTATGAGTTCATATGTACATTATTCCTGCTATGTTTTGAAGATTTTGTCATACTCTGCATGTTTCCTGGCTGTGGGCCTCTGTATTTGTTCCCATATACTTCAGGAGGAAGCTTCTCTAATGATGACTGAAAGCTCTGATCTATGAGTAGAGCAGGATGTCACTAGGAGTCCCTTTGTGGCTATGTTTCTTTAGCAGAACAGTAGTATTTGGTTTTCCTTTAAGTCTTTGACCTGTCTGGTCTCAGGTACTTTGCCATCCAGGCAATGCTGGAGAAGGGTTCTGTGGTGGTTTGAATAGGAGTGACCCCCACAAATTCATGTGTTTCAATGTTTGGCTATAGGGAGTGGCATTATTAGAAGGTATGGCCTTTTGGAGTAGGTGTGGCCTTGTTAGAGAAAGCGTCTCGCTATATAAGAGGGCTTTGAGGCCTCCTGTGCTCAAGCTCTCCCAAGTGTGGAAGAGACCCCTCTGCCTGCCTGCCTGAAGAAGACAGTCTCCTTTTGACTGCCTTTAGGTGAAGATGCAGAACTCTCAGCTCCTCCCGCAACATGCCTGTCTACATGCTGCCATGCTTCCCACCATGATAATAATGAACTAACCCTCTGAAACTGTGAGTCAACCTAATTAAACATGACCCTTTATAAGGGTCGCCTTGGTGTTCACAGTAATGAATCCCTAAGACAAATTCTATCTCCTAGAGTGAGCCTTATGTCTAATCAGTCATTGGCTGGCTACTCCCACAAGCTTTGTGTTATTATTCACTAGCATACCTCACAGGTAGATCATCATCATAGACTGAAGACTTTGAAGCTGAGTTGATGTTTGTTTACCTTTTTCTTTTGGTAACGTAATAAGTAACTTCCAGTACCATGAACACTAATCTGTAAGGATGAAGGTTCTAGTTAGACACTAGCTCAACTTCTGTTTAAGGAGTTGTGTCGGTGTTATCTTCAGCAATGGGACCTTACCACAGTTTGTGGAAAGCAACCAATAGCCTTGGCAATAGCCTTGGTTGTTTTGGGGTTCTCATGGGGCCTCTTTGGTCAATACTTGATGTAACCCATTCTCAGAACTGGAGGCTTCATTTTATGACAAGAGATGTCCAGTTGGGTTCAGTCTCTCCTGTTCTTCAGGGATTCCTTTTAGATCATCTTCATATATGTATATATTTTTGGGAGCTTCTATTGAGTTTTCATACAACCTTTTGAATGGCCCTTAATTTTAGCTGTCGCTCCCCCATATTCTCTCCTTAGTCCCACTTTTCCTTCCTCTCCCTATTTGACGCTCCCATCCCAGTTCACTACTAATCTATCAATAACTATTCTATTTCTCCTTCCTAGAGCAATCCAATTCTTCACCCCAGTCCTATAATACATACTTAACCTCTGTGGTTGCATCAACTGTAGCCTACGTATTGAATACTTAACAGGTAATGCTACATATAAGAAAATGCATGTCATATATATCTTTTTAGTTCTGAGTTGCCTGACGCAGTATAATTTATTTATGCTCAGTCCATTTAACTGAAAATTTTATGATTTAATTTTTTTGTAACAGCTGAATAAAATTCCTTTGTGTGAATATACCATACTATGCCTTGTTTATCCATTTATTTATTGATGGACATCTAGGTTGTTTCCAATTTCTGGCTATTATGAATAGAGAAGCAATGGACATGTTTGAGCAAGTGCCTCTGTAGTAGGGTATGGACTCCTTTGGATATACAGGAGTAATATAGCTGGCTCTTGAGGTAGATCAATTCCCATCTTCCTGAGGACCTAACACATTGCTTTCCATCGTGGCTGCCTAAGCAATGGATGAGACTCGCCTTACTCCACATCCTTGACAGCAAGGATTGCTCTTGTTTTATGAATCTTAGCCATTCTGACATGCAGAGGGCAAGAGGTCCATGCACTTACAGACAGCACTAAAGAAATCAGAATTGTTAAACACACAGGATTTTATTTCTAAAATGGAAGGAACTGACATCTGATCAACCAGAAGGCTGGAGTGGGTGTTACTTAATAAGCAGGTGATGTTTTTGTTACTTTATATAGCTGACCTTCAACCGAATCCTCCAGCCTCACAAGAATTGTTTCTCAGTCTGCAGACTCCATCCTCATGAAAGAAGTCCCATGTACTTTGCAAAAGAGTTTACTATTATACTTATTACAAATCCCTTCTTCCCTAGGTCCTTATGCTGAGCACTGTTTCTTGGTCAACAGAACTCATGCATGTGGAAAAGGTTTTGTGAACGAGAGGTACTTTGTAAAGGCATTTTGATATAGCACTGTTTAAAGCTTTTTTTTGTGATAATTGTCATGTGGAAAGTTCTTACCAAAGTTTTACTGTGTTTAAATATATACAAATATAAAGCACTTGTCATCAGATTCCAGAAGTTTGAACCCACCCACCTAAGTCATACCAAATCCAGTTTTCATTCTTGCCTCTGTAGATCATTTGACCACTGGCTGTGACACTTGCAGGGACCTCCACACTGATAGGTATAAAATAAAATCTCAAAGTAGTTTTGATTTGGGTTTTCTTGATGGCTGAGGATATTGAAGATTTATCTAAGTGCTTCTTGGCCATTTGTGTTCCCTTTTTGAAGAATTCTGTTTAGATCTATACCCCATTTTTAATTGGGTTATTTGTTTGCTTGGTGTCCATTTTTTTAGTTGTTTCTATATTTTAGATATTTCCCTATATCAGATGTGTCTTTTGGAAACCCTTACATGGATCTAGTTTTTTTTTCTTTCTGGTTTTCATTAATTTTATTTTACATACCAATCAGAGCTTCGCCTCCAGAAGGCTGGAGTGGGTGTTACTTAATAAGCAGGTGATGTTTTTGTTACTTTATATAGCTCGCCTTCAACCGAATCCTCCGGTCTCCCAAGAATTGTTTCTCAGTCCGCAGACTCCATCCTCATGAAAGAGCTCCCCTACCAGACCCTCCCCCTCATCTTCCCTCTCCCTATGCTCCCTCCTTTTCTACTCTTAGAAGGGAGACCTCACATAGATATCACCCTGCTTTGGCACATTATGTTGTAGTAGGATTGGGTGCATCTTCTTTTATTAAGACTAGACAAGGCCATCTAATTAGGGAAAAGGGACCCAAAAGTAGGCAACAGAGTCAGAGACATCCCTTGCTCTTGCTGTTAGAGATCTCACATGAAGAAGCTGTACATCTGTTGCATATATAGAGAAGTACTAGATCTGCCCCATACATGCTCTCTGATTGGTGGTTCAGTCTCTGTGAGCCCCTATGAGCTCAGGTGTTACTAGATATTTGATCACACTGTGAACCTAAGAACCCAAGATTGTGTTGCTTACTGAAAAAAAATTGTTTCAAGCTGTGGTGTGGCTCAGCCATCAGAACAAACATTTAGTCCTTCTGGCTGGAACATAGACATATTCTTAGTACATACCTTTACTCTCAAACAATAAAGGCAAAATGAAGGCTGGCCAAGGCAATCCAGAAGGAAAAGGTCCAAAAGGCAAGCAAAAGAGTCAGAAACAGCTGCTGTTCTGGCTGCTAGGAGTCCCACATGAGGACCAAGCTGCACAACTGTAACATATGTGTGAGGGTCTAGGTCAGTCCCATGCAGGCACCCTGGTCGACAGTTTAGTCTCTGAGCCCCTATCAGCCCAGGTTAGTTGGTTCTATGAATGTTCTAACACTGTATTCTTTATATAAAAGCTAAAGACTGGAGATCGATGTACGTAAGGGAAAATGCCGCCTGCCAAATGTGATTTCTAGGGCTCAGAAG